GTTTTTAGGGTAATATCAGTACATATTAATTACCTAATTTGCATAATTAATTAATTTTCAGCTTTTGATATTTCAAGTAGTAATCATCACATTTCAATGAAACTTGGTCCATAGTTATTTAAGGACTGTGCAGAGACCTGATTAGTTTTGGGGTAAATAATTGTGCATATTAATCACCTTATTAGCATAATTAGTTCATTTTCAGCTTTTTGCCTGATATCTCAAGTACTAATCATATTTCGATGAGACTTGCTACATAGATCCTCTAGGACTATGCAGAGACCTGATTAGTTTTAGGGTAAATAATTGTGGATATTAATTACCTAATTCGCATAATTAGTTTTTTCCATGAATGTTCCACTGATATATAAAGAACCACTAATTGGATTTTAATGAAACTTTTAAAAGAGTATTCATCATCACATTACAATGAACCTAAACCTATGCAGAGACCCAAATAGTTTTTGGTAAATATTTATGCTTATTAATCACCTAATTAAAATAATTAACACTGATATCTCAATTGCTGATCATCACATTTGAATAAAATTTGGTACATAAATTTTCTAGGACAATAGACAGGCCCGATTAAGTTTGGGTTGAAATTTGTTCATATTAATTCTCTAATAATAATTCATAGTTTTTTTGTTCTAATCACATTTCAATGAAACTTGGTACATAGATATTACATTACGCAGGCCTTATTAGTTTTACACTCAAATCTGTTCATATCAGTTACCTGATTTACATAATTAGTTTTTAGCTATTCCATCAATATCTCTAGTACAAGTAATTTTGAATTAATTTTTAATGTGTCTTCAATACTCTCAGCACACAGGAGTTCTTTTTAAGCTTTCTTTGATTCTTACTGGTGTGACTACAGTGACTGTAGTGTACTCGTCATTTTGTTTTGTTTTTTGTTTTGTAGATTGTTGTCAGTTGTTTTGTGTTGTGTTCTTGGAATTTTGTACAAAAATCAACAAGGGTTAAATAGGTATATTATTTCCACTTTGCAATATATCGTAGACAGTACTTGTATAATTTGTTCTCCTGCATAAATATCTGATTGTTTGGAAGCATGAGATTGTATTTGTAATGTAAATTTGGATTATGTCTTGGCTTGTTTACTTACTTGATGTCAGTGTCTGACTGGTATACAAAAGTCAGAATATTAAAAAAAAAAAAGAAACCTACAAATAAGTTGCCTATGCTAAGAGAGCCGCAGAACCAAAATATCTGTCAGCGGTCGAGTAATCAGCACTAACTACGTACAAGGTGCTGCGTCTATGGTCCAATCGACTAATATAATCATGTTGTTCCATGATTATCTCCTGGTTACAAGTATTCACATCAAATATAACTTTGCCCAAGTGATACAGGATACCGTTTGAGCCGAAAAAGTTATAGTTGTTCAACCTGTTTATAAATTACAGGTGATTCTCTGAGAAAATGCATACTAACCTCATTGATAAATATTACATCTTTGATCTCTGAGAAGTCAATATCAAATAAATTGACTGCCAAATGCACGAATATGATTGGCTGTTAGGATTATGAGATCTAATTAAGCTATAACCCATCGCTGAAGTTGGGTATACCACAAGATATTGCACAGTTCATGACATATATGCACGAGCGTAGGCAATATTTGGAGGGGGGGTTATTGCTATTACATTATACCAGTGTATTGACAATTCAACAAAACTAGTAAAAAACAAGTTTACTTGCATCTACTATAAGATCATGATTATGGCCCTTGAACATGAATATTCACAAAAACAGTATGTAGTTGTACACTGAATGCACACACAAAATAACACATGCAACACAGTTCAAATTAAATACAAACTTCTTTTATTAAGTATGAAAATGAAACGTGTCCACAGTGAATAGAACAACGTAAACACAAAAATTAGCATAGCAAAAGAGGACCTTCCTGACCTTTTACTGACTTAGTCAACGCCGTTTGAAATAAAGGGTTGTGTACACTTTATATCAATAAAACAACTGATTTTCCATGTTTTCATCCTTTTTTTTGTACAATTTGGAATGTCTGTGCTCTAGCTGTCGCTCGCAAATGTCGTAAATTACGAAATTTGGACAAGATTTACGAACAAAATAAATATCTATTAGTAGGATTTACGAACACATTTTGTACAAAATACCCTCGCAAATCGCCTCATTTAATTGTCAAGACTCGACTGTGATCATCACGCGTGTTACGGTTTGAATGATTGCCATTTTAAAAATGTCCCGTTACTTCTAAGATTGCAACAATTGTTACATGCATGGTGATCGCGATCAACACGGAACTGCCACTGAATGCACTTTTCCACTCTAAAGTTATTTTGGTGTCATCGCACATGCGTAGTTTAGTCGACATGTGTTTCAAGATACCCCGCGACTTTACTCTCAGTATGAGACGG